TGGCCTCCCAAGTTTTCCTTTTTTTTTTTTTTTTTTTCCCTTTGTATACGCTCTTGATCATATAAAATTTCTTAGGGAAAACCATATTGAAGGTACCTATACTTTCTCTCAATTTTTAATTTGGTACCTATGTGTTTTTTTCCTTTTAATTAAACATTTAATTTTATCTTTTTAGCAACATTAGCTCTTATAACTTTATTCTATTGATATTTTTAGTCTCTACATAAGGATTAATGATGTTAATAAAGCAAAATTAAAGATTTAGTTAAGAACAAAAAACACATAGGTACCAAATTGAAAATTGAAAAAAAGTATAAGTACCTCCAATATGGTTTTCCCAATTTCTTAAAAAAAGTGCATTTTTAAATGTATTTTTCAAATTTAAATTGGAAAAATTGCATATAAATAGGTTATGACTTATGAATTCGTATATATATACCGTGATATTCACTTAGCAAAATTTTAATTGAGAAATGATTAATTAAAAAAAAAAATGCCATGATTCTATATAATATATATGGACAAGATTGCAGAATGATTAAAGTTACATTGAATATCCATGTTGCTTGACATTAGTGCCACGAAATATATATTCAAAGCTCCGATATGTCAATTTACTCCATAATGCCAAAAGAACTGACTATTTTTTTAAAAAAAATTATTGAAAATTGTGGTTGTAAGGACTGGTAATCGGCTTCGTTTTTCATGCATTTATTGATAGACCAAACGTCAAACCTCTCTTCCACAACTTGCCTAAAGTCAACACTAATCGGATTCATATTATATATATATATATATATATAATATTTAGAGAGAAAGAGAGAGGGATTCGTCGTTCTCTACATTCTGGTCTGTTCTTTGCTCTTTTTAGACCTCTCCTTAGTTTTCTTCAAGTCTACTTAAAACCATAAGGGTTTTAGTCAAGAGCTTAATTATTCTTAGTGTCTTTTTTCATCATATTTTTTTCACTATATTTTTATGTGTCTCCAGACTCTAGATATAATCAAGAAACCCATATAGCCTCTCTCGACTCTATATTTAATTTTTTTTTCCTGTAAATCAACATTCATATCATTATAAAATATAAAATCAATAATAAAGCTACGTTATTGTTCATTTTTCTAATATATAAGGTTTCGTATACCCTATATCCATTTTACAAGACTCTATCTCCCTCTCTCAAATAAGAGATAAATTATAAAGAGGTTATATATATATATATATATATATATATATTCTGATCTTTATTATAAGGCACGTTTTAGAGGAAATATATTGTCCTCATTATATGTCACAAAATGAGATATTATTACATTTTTTTTTCAGATTACTCCCATTTAAAATCTCATTAACTAATTGCACTTTTCATAACTTCTTGAACGTAATTCATGGTATATTTAGCACGGGTAAATTTAAAATTTTGTTTTTAATCTTTAGACTAAATTAATGATTTAACTATCTCTTTTTTTATTTCTATAATAACAAGGATCGGGGGAATATATGTGCATGGTCAAATGTAGAAATTTCAATCACGCGTATCAAAAGAACTTTGTCGGTAACAAAAATCATATCTCAATATTTCTATATAGCCGTTGCGTCCAAAAATCCCTATAGATGGAACGAATTAATGTGGCAGCTTTCACAGGTGGATTTTTCTGTGAAATACATATCCCTTGTGTACGTTTGTTCTTCTTGCTTGCCCCTATGGAAACAAATTAAAAACACATGCTGCTTTATATATATAATTTCATTGCCTTTAATTTGCGTGAAGCATCTTACCTACTGAAAGCCTTTAAAGGTTTATCATTTAGTCTGAACAAATCAAAACTTCAAATTGGAATAAAATTATTGTCGTGATGCAATTATTTTCTTCTCAAGCTCAACTAATTCCACCAAATGACTTGGCCCGACAAGATATGCTTCTTACTTTATATTATATGTGTAAAACAAAACCATCCCTTGACCAAAAACCAAAAAGTATCATTTGAAAGCATATATGTTTCTTGGAGGAGAAGATCTGTATGATATATATATATATATATATATAATTATCAACAAAATAATATCTTTTATCAAAAAGTTAAATTTTCGAAAATTAGTATCTATATACACCTTTGTAAAACATATATTAAACGCAAATGTGTTTAACTTCATTTCTGTACACAAGATCAAAAGAAAAATAATAATATACTCCCTTTGATAATTATAATATAAAAATAATTTATAGAATATAAAGTAAATATATTAGAAAAATTTTGTCATAATTTACATAAAATATGTTTATAAGTCCTTATAATTGTGATTCCAAACAAAATCTAAGTGTAAATTTCATTTTATTTTATATTTTATATTTATTTTTTAAAAATAATTTATTTGACGCAAAAATTATGTTATAATTAACCAATTTATTTAATTTTATTAATTAGGTCACATTAATTAAATAATTTTTACATTAACATGTGTCTGATGTACACACACGTTTCAATATATCGTACTACGGGCCAAAGCAAAAGGTCAATCGTATATGCTGACGTAGGCTACGCATCAGGAAGTCCAAGCCGTAGAGGCGCTGTGGCACGTGCTTCTCATAAGTCGGCGACGGTCAAATGCCGGTGCCACATGGGACACGTGTCGGCTTCTCACCTGTCCAACCCAAACTCCCCAGGCCAGAAAGTTTGAATCATTGACTCCCGCTGCCCCCATCACGCCCCACTCATGCCGCGTGGTGAGAACGCCAAGCGTGAGGTATTCCCTCCCACCCAAAATACAAGACGCCTTTGAGAAAAGATAATTTTTGTTCATATGTTACTTAAAGAATTATTAATTACAAATTTTTAATTTCATTTTTATTATTTGTGGTTTATGTTGGCTATCAAGAAAGAAGAGAGATTTAAATAGATGCAAATGTTAAAACAAAATTTTCAATTTAAAACAAATTCAATGAGTTATTCACCTTTTTTTTTTGTTTTAGGGGGTGTTTGGGAAACCCAAAACCATGGTTTCAGAAACACTTTTCCGCAAAACGAGGTAATCTCCTCCACATATTTACTTCGTAATCCGTAAAAGCACTTCTGAAACTATGGTTTGGTTTCTATCCAAACACCCCCTTAGTAAAAGGATTAAAAAGGACTTACATTTTTATGAATTATTTTTAAGGCACCTGATTTTTTTTTTCAGCAAGCCAACTGAATATTTAAGGAGCGTAAAATTAATTTAATTTAAGATAACAATAATGGTAACCTGTGCATGTTTCTAGAAACAAGAGATAGAAGTATCACCGGGGAAAAAAAGCAAAAGAAACAAGAGGTAGAAATCTAAACAGAGAGAGAGAGGTCAACATGTGCTTTCTTTGACTCTTCTTCCAATCCACAGTTATAAAATGCTGGTCTTATTTGTAAAGTTTAATGGAGAAGAAGAAAAACTTTAAATTGTATCAACTTTTCATTAAAATATACTTTTCTTGTTTTATTTACAAAACATTTTTAGTATATTTCACACAGAACAAGAAAAATAAAGTGAATATAATAATAAATTAAATAAGGGGTAAAATTGTACATTTATACAAAAAATTTCTCCTAATACCTTATAAATAGAACCAAAAAAATATCTTCTTTCTGCCCTATAACTAGAAGTAGAGGAGTAACAATTTTTTAAACTTTATTCTAATTAATATATACACTTTTAAAAAAGATGATTACCTGCACTATAATAAATAGAGAACAAAATAATATATTCATACTAAAAAATTAATAAATGACTTATAAATAAGATTAAAAAAATTTTCTCTTTTTATTAGGATTATAGGACCAAAGGAGTAAAGAATAGAAACGTATAGACCAGTGGGATAAACGCGGATTGTACTATTTTAGTTGGGTTTCTCAAAAGTTGTAATTAAGTCATCTTTGGATTCTACTACTCTACTTTTTGCATATATAAACACACAAAACAAAACCGCTGTTGTATTTTAATATTCAATTCTTCAAAGGGCTTTACCAAACAAGAGAAAATAATGTTCTCCCACGAGACTCCAAATCGAATATTTTAAACAGCTAACTAAATGTTACGTTTCTTCAGAAGTATTCATTCACAGTTATATGGTTAATTAATTAAGTCTTCACAGAGGACTAGTAAACTCTATGGGTATGGAAAAGCGTTTTTTCAGTTTTAGTTATACCTCCCCCTTTCCCCACATTTTATAATTCATGCATCAAAAAGAATTATTTTAGGTCGTTATAAAAAATTATGTCCCTTTCAAGAGAAATCTAATCTCTCAATTGACACAAACTGATAAGTAATTAACACAAACGGAGTACATAAATATACAGACATCCTTACCCTACACAATAATATGTGTGTACTGACTGAATTTCGGATGTTCAAAGGTTTGTTTTAAAGATCCTGTCAATATATATATATATGAACATGGGGTACTTGAAAAAATTATGTTATATATAGTTGATATATAATCAAACTCTACATGTTCATTTATAAACGTAATGTATCAAAATAATTTACAAACTTGTACATCTCTTGACCAGAATTCTGAAGTCATATATATATATAGACACACACATATATATGTAATCTTATTACTTTTGATCAAGTGGGAGCCTTGATGGACATTTTAATTGAGAGGTTTTATTAATTGTTTTGGGGTGCAGTCTTTTAATTATGATTGAAAGGCGTCCAAATTAAAACAGAATAACTTAGTAAAAACAAAATATGATAGTATAATGTATAAAAAATAAAATAAAATATGATAGGTCAGTCTCCTTAATTGAAGTAGCAAATGAAGTGGAAAATGTCTCCCTGTGAGAAAGCACATTTTATCAGCCATCTGACTGGAAGTGGAAGGTAATTTGTCAACCTCCTTTTTTTTAAAAAGCAGCATTACCCTCTCTCTCTTCTTTCTGCGTTCAAACTTCAAACCCAAAGATCCTTTTCTATTTCATTTATATATATATACCAAACAAACTTGAAAGATACGGCTTACTCTTATCTTCCTCATCTTCTCCTCTCTCTCTTATTCTCCTTCTTCTGCTTCTTCAACTTCTTGATGTCTGATGAGCTTAAGGAACTATACGACCAAGGCCGATCCACCATGTATTCATCATCCTCCTATGATTCGCAAGCTTTCGATCCTTCCTCTTACATGAGCTTAACTGAGTGTCTGCAAATTGGAGCCATGGACTACAATTCACTTGCAACTTCTTTTGGTCTGTCTGAGGTATTGATTCCATCATCTGCTGAACAAGAAGGTAAGAACACTCAGAAGCTATCATCAGAAGAGGTAGATTGTGGTACCGCCGGCGCCGGCGCCGAAACTCCACCAATCACCCAGAACTCATCTCTCTCTTCCTTCTCTTCTGAACCTGGGGTTGAAGAAGATTCAAGCAAAAACACTGCGGACGATCATAACCAAGCCAAACCAGAAGAGGAAGCAGAAAGATCTAAGAAAGGGTAAGTTTCTTCTTCTTCTCCTCCTCCTCCCTAGAAACACTCTGTATATACTGGATTTGACCAAATGTTGGGAATCGTTAATGATTAATACTAGTCTGAAATAATCGGTGTCTATGTGTAACGGAAGGACCGGTGACGTTTTAGACTGAAACTAGAGCTTGATATTTTGATTTAACTTGCAAGGAGAAAATTATTGGTGCAAGTGGAATAGATGGAATTGATGACGGTTTGTGTTTGGATTTGTGATAATCAGAAAGAAAGGAAAGAAGAAAGGAGAGAAGAAAGAGAAGGAACCAAGGTTTGCTTTCATGACCAAGAGTGAAGTTGATCAGCTTGAAGATGGATACCGCTGGAGGAAATATGGCCAGAAAGCTGTAAAAAATAGCCCTTACCCAAGGTACACACTTTGTTTTAATTTTCTGCACCAAATCTTACTGAAATGCCTAGTATCATCCAAAAAAAAAAGTGGATTGAATCCATGGAAAATCAAGTAATGGAAACTAGATCAGATTCAGAAACAGATCATGTATATATGTTAATTGGTGTACAACTTTGAACCTAATTTGGTTCGTAACCATATAATTAGCAACCAAGAACTTGATACGGAATAATAATCCAGAACAAATGTGAACTGGGAATCACAGCCGAAAGTTAAACCTAGGCATTCACACTATAAAAAGACAGAATCTAGCAAAAATGTTTAACACATGCAAAAAAGAACGAAGATTTAGGTATAATTTGGTTGAAGTTTGTTTTTACATATTATTGCAGGAGTTACTACAGATGCACGACACAGAAGTGCACAGTGAAGAAACGAGTGGAGAGGTCGTTTGAGGATCCAACAACTGTTATAACAACGTACGAAGGTCAGCACAACCATCCTGTCCCCACTTCTCTGAGAGGAAGTTATAATTCTGCGGCTTTGTTCACACCTTCTTCTTCTTCATCATCATCGTCTTCCTCGCAGTCCCCTTCCATTCTCTCTCATCTCATGTTCCCAAACTTGCCATCGCCTCACGACTTGCTTCTTCTCCATGGAAGCTCCAGTATAAATAACAGTCCTCTTTATTACTCTCACAACTATGCTAATAATCCTAATAATTCTGTTCATCATCAGTATCGTCATCTTCATCATCATTATCAGCTTCCAGTTCCTGATCAGCATGACAATGGCCTCCTCCAAGACTTGATCCCTTCTTCTATGTTCTTCAAACAAGAACCTCGAGAATGAGTAGTCTCTGATGATCTCTCTTGCACTTTTGTTGTATATAAATATATAATTATGGTCGTGGTGGATGTCTAGTTCCATATATATTTAGCTATAGAGATATATCTATCTGACTTAATGATCAAAAACCTACTTGGAATGCTTTATTTCGAGGCGGGTCTAGCTTGATGATAATGATCAGAATCATGAGGTAGTTGCTAGCTAGCTAGAAAGAGACCTATATCTAATATTGTATGAATATGATTGATGAGCCTATCATTTAGGATTTACATCTTTAATTCTATGAAGAGCGTAATGTCAATTCACTGATTATTGAAACATACGCAAGTGTTATTTATGGTTCGATCTTGTTAGTGATTTTGCAGTGCATCTACTTTAGTCTAGCTAGCTAGCTAGTAGTTATAGTCTTTGGAAGTTTCTGACTGATACATTAATCTGAACCACAAAAATTGCTGTTTTTTGCCCCTTTTTTCAAAAGTGCAACACTCCTAATAATGGATGCTTATTTTTTTGTCTATGAGAAAGATATAATCTAATTTTGATTGTTATCCTATATATTGAGGTTCAGAGTTGGGAAAACAGACCGAATCCATTGGACCTTCCGGTTTAAATCTGTTTAAATTAAAAGCTGGATTTGTAATTTGGAATCTTCAAAAGAAATTTGGACGTAAAAAAGATCAGTTCTATAGGGCTTGAAAATAAAAAGGCCAGCCCTGTAAGGCTGCGAGCCGACCTATTTAAGTCCTCCAAAATTAATTTTTTTTTCTTGATCCTAATATAGTTCCTAACATTTTACACATTGTTCTTTTTTAAGTTTTACTTTCAGTCTTTCACTATCAACTCACATCTCAATCTCTAATGAAATTAAAATAAATAAAAATATATTTTTCATATCCTAAGTCAGATTTCAAATTTGTATTTATTTAAACCAACAGTAAATATTAAAATAAACAAAATCTATTTCCCACTTTAAAAAAAATTTAATGATTGAACGAAAAGGCACGTATGAATTTGTACATATGTTATAAAATTTTAATAAATAAGTTAACATTTTTTCTATAATGACTATAATATAATTTTTACTCTATTTAAATAGAGTTACACAAGCAAGCTAGATAAAACCAAAGAAAGACCATTCTGAACAAAAAAAAAAAAAACATAGTTAGCTCATTAAAAGGATGCTATGGATCAATCTAAAGTGTAAAATATTTCATACTTCCCATGAGACTGTGCAACAAAGTGATTTTCACAATTAAAACTTAAGAAAAAAAATACTATCTCTGGTCCTAATTATAAGACCTTTTATTAGTATTGAAGGTAGTAAGTAGACAACACAAAATCAATTCCCAATGGTTGCTAAGTTGAAACGTCTAAAACAAACTTAACATTGATACTTCTAAATAAACTTACTGGTGGGCCAAAAATTCAATTCAGAATGACAGAAGAAGACATATTAGACTTTAGAATGGCTAAATAGTATTGAAAAGAAATTATTGATATTTTTAGAAGTTAAGAAGATCCTTTACTAGTGAAGCACAATCAAATATTCTTACAATAGATGATAGTGATGATAGTGTTTGTCCACTTTTTTTTTGTGAAAATGTTTGTCTACTTTTAATGAAACTTTTGGATGTTAATGTTATTGACTTATATATCTAATAGATGTTTTAGATTTTTTGTATACTGATGGACATTTGATATGATGATTTTTTATATTTGTAACTTAATTTTATTTATATTTATGTTTTTTACTAGTAATTTCATTGATTTATTTTTATTTATTAATAAAACATGAAAAATAAATTTTCTTTAAATTAAACGAGTCGAAAGCCTACAGGTCAGCCTTGAACCTGTCTGCTTAAAGGTCGAGCCTAACAATTTGGGATATTTTTTAAATTTCAGTCTTATAGGGTCAGCCCGACCCGTTCTCCTAGCTCTAGGTTAGAGTTAACCAACTCCTTGAATTTACACAACTTAGGATAACTCAAGAAATGTTTTTGTAGAGTATGCTTCTTATTAAACCTCTGTGCTGGTTTTAAGAATAAAGAGGTTTTTCTTGTAATTTTAATTAATAACATAAAAAATGTGATTTTTGATCGAAGTGATATTGAATTTCATAAGGTAGATATATAAACACAAGCAATTTAATTTTTATGTATAATTTAGTGTGGAACAGCAATGGAGGCCGGAGATATAGAAGATCAAATTAAATTGAAAATGTTATATATTATCTTATAAGTTAAGTGTCAGCCTATTGGAGAAGAGAAAATAAGAATAAAAGAACAAATTGACTACTTCAATATTCTTCGCACTTGCCAAACTATATCTAAAACTCTAATTCATAAGTAAAACAAAGCTGCTGAGTTTTTCTGATTTGGAAAGTTCTCTTTATCTTACAGTGTATTTGTATTCATTTTCTGGAAGCCAATTAACTGAAATTAAAATTAATTAAAAATTATCTCAGTTAATCTGACACATTGGTTTAAACCCTACAGAAACTGCTCTGTATTATATTATTATTATTATTATTATTATTATTATTATTATTATTATTATTATATTATTATTATTATATTATTATTATTATTATTATTCACGTAAATATGTAGTATGTTTATTATTCACGTTGGCAACAAAAAAAGAAGAAGAAGAAGTTATATTCACAAATTAATAACGCACCTCATTTCTCTAATTTTATATTAGCAAGCTGCATGCTATTAACCGTATAATTTAATCTTATTTCATTATTTGAAGATATTCCTTCGATCTTGATGTAAGATCTAATTAAAAAATTTAATTAGATTAAAGATGTTAGTTAAATTAGTTAATATGATACTACCTCTAATCCTTAATATAAGAGCTACACCTCTGGTTCTATTTATAAGGTAGAAAAATAAGATATTTTTTTGTGCTATTTATAGGGCACTTAGAGAAATTTTGTATAGCTGTATAATATTACTCTTCATATATTATTTGTGTGACTTTATTTATATGAGATATAATGTATATTAAATAGGAATCAAGTTGGAAAGTTTTTTAATTTTAGATGAGAGTTAATGAAGTCTAATGTTTTTCTTAATCTATGTGAAACATGTTAGAAGTGACTCATAGATAGGACCAAAAGATTAGTTGACTAATTTGAGTGGATTAAAAAAATTAGTTAAGTTAGTTATTTATAATAAATATGTATTATTTCCTCTACAATACCTTCACTAATCAACTGGGTTAGTTATATTATCATTTGATAAAACATTTAACATATCAACTACTATAAAGACTACTTTGAGAATAAATAAAAAATACTACCTTCGGTCCTAATTATAAGACATTGTTTCTATAAACGAGTTTTATAATTAGGATTGAAGGTAATATGAGAGAGAAAGTGGAGAGGGTTCTTATATTTAAGACCAAAGTAAAAGTCAAACTAGCTCATATATTAAGAATAAGAGATAGTATTTTTTTCCAAAACATCCTAAGTATCTTCCTCAATTCCT